CACGCACGCACGCACGCACGCACGCACACGCACGCACGCTCGCACGCACGCACGCACGCTCGCACGCACGCACGCACGCACGCATGCACGCACGCACGGTATTGGTATTATCAGTAATACAATAATAATATTATTCACTCCTGATATTATGTTTACCAGAGAAAATTTTGTACACAGAGTTTACGAAGGATCCTCCACACATCGGAGTGTTGTCTCCTTCACACGGCATCGCCTCACAGTCCGTATCCGCAACAGTAACCGTAGCGGAGTACGGTCCCAATAATTTGCCATACTCCTGACCGCAACTACAAAAACGCCCAAAACTCAAACCCATGAAGTGGTAGCCGAGATCGGTGCAGTGGTCGGCGCAAAGAGACGGAGACATTGTCCCCACCATTAGTGCCCTATATGTGAAGTCGGTATCCATATTAGCTTCCGAAAGGAAGCAGCCTATATATTCCCATTGAGAAGCGACGCCTGCAAAAGAAATCATCCGTGCGTTAGCCCTAGTTAACTACCCCCAGACATGACACCATCACACAATGACATATATGCGATCGTGACAAACACGAGCAAGCACATTACATACCTGTACGTACACTCCAGGTCACCGCTGTTAAAGCAATCAGTATATATGAGTACCGCATATTGTAGCGTCGGAGAATGTTGCGTCCGCGTGTAGGAAGTTCGAGTGCTGGAATGATGTCACGATGTACAACGGGATTCGATGCATGAGCACGTCCACACCGTCACTTTCATGTACGTGTCAGTTGCAGGCGATTTGTGCTGACGTAAAAAATGGGATGGTGCGTTGGCAAGGGATGCTATCTAAAACGTTGCTATTGTTTGGCAAAGGCCTTTTTAATAATCATGTGTTATTTATGTGATCGATACATCAGCAATGTCAACATATTAATTAATTATATTAAATAACATTAATAATATTTAACATATTGTTATATTGATCGGGTAGTATAGCGAGTATGACGGATTGTTTAGTTTTTTTTTCTGTTTTTAACTCCGCATGGCGACAGCATCGCATTAACTATTTATAGTAATAATTGATATTTATAGCAGTATTGAATGTCGGTATAAAAGACTATCTGTATAGGTAAAAGAAAGAGTGGTGGAGAAAGAAAGTGAGGACTCGGGGGAGGTAAAGCCTCGGTCACAACGAACCCACGACGCATTTGTGCCACGATACGACAGAAAATTTGGGCAAATCGTGGTCAACAGGGGTCGTCGCAAAACAGTCCTACGAAATTTTGAGAATCGTGCCACCTTTTTTGTTCCACGATTTCTTGCGGTATCTATGTCTTCTGGTTGTCGTGAGTCTGTCCTACTACTAACTTGCGACACACCCACGACATATCATTTTTTTCTGTCGCGTCCCCATCCCCAAACCATCTTTAATGTGTCGTAGCCCTTGTGACCACTCGAAATACATTTCGGGCATGTTGCAAGATCTGGCCATGACAAATATTTTATGGGTCTACCACGACAAAATTTCGTACGATCTGTTGTGCCCGGGGCTTAAAGCTAATTAATATGTGTAAATGTAATTTGATATGTGTAAAGCTAAACAAAGCATTCGTGCACGTTTAGGCGCGCGTGCCTGTTTGGGTGCGTGCCACCCTTATACACGTGTTTGCGCGTGTATGTGCGTGTGCGTGTATGTGCGTGTGCGTGTGCGCGCGCGTACGTGTTTGGGTGCGTGCCACCGTTATACACGTGTTTGCGCGAGTATATGCGTGTGCGTGTATGTGCGTGTACGTGTATGTGCGTGTACGTGTATGTGCGTGTGCGTATACGCGTATGTGCGTGTGCGTGTGCGCGCGTGTACGTGTTTGGGTGCGCGCCACCCTTATACACGTGTTTGCGCGTGTATATGCGTGTGCGTGTATGTGCGTGCGCGTGTGCGTGTGCGCGCGTGTACGTGTTTGGGTGCGCGCCACCCTTATACACGCGTTTGCGCGTGTATATGCGTGTGCGTGTATGTGCGTGTGCGTGTGCGCGCGCGTGCGTGTTTGGGTGCGTGCCACCCTTATACACGTGTTTGCGCGTGTATGTGCGCGCGCGTACGTGTTTCGGTGCGTGTTTGGGTGCGTGCCACCCTTATACACGTGTTTGCGCGTGTATGTGCGTGTGCGTGTGCGCGCGTACGTGTTTGGGTGCGTGCCACCCTTATACACGTGTTTGCGCATGTATATGCGTGTACGTGTATGTGCGTGTGCGTGTACGCGTATGTGCGTGTGCGTGTGCGCGCGCGTACGTGTTTGGGTGCGTGCCACCCTTATACACGTGTTTGCGTGTGCGCGCGCGTACGTGTTTGGGTGCGTGCCACCTATATACACGTGTTTGCGCGTGTATGTGCGGGTGTGCGTATAAGCGCGCATACGTGTCAATGTACGTTTCTGTGCGCGTGTTCGTGCATACATGTATACACACATATATATGTTTTTGTGTACGTGTATACGTGCGTGTACGTATGTACGTGCGTGTATGTGTATGTGCGTGTACGTGTATGTGCGTGTACGTGTATGTGCGTGTATGTGCGTGTGCGTGTATGTGCGTGTACGTGTATGTGCGTGTACGTGTATACGTGCATGTGCGTGTATGTGTATACGTGTATGTGCGTGTACGTGTATACGTGTATGTGCGTGTACGTGTATGTGCGTGTATGTGCGTGTACGTGTATGTGCGTGTACGTGTATGTGCGTGTATGTGCGTGTACGTGTATACGTGTATGTGCGTGTGCGTGTGCGTGTATACGTGTATGTGCGTGTACGTGTATGTGCGTGTGCGTATATGTGCGTGTACGTGTATACGTGCGTGTATGTGCGTGTACCTGTATGTACGTGTATGTGCGTGTATGTGCGTGTACGTGTATACGTGTATGTGCGTGTGCGTGTATACGTGTATGTGCGTGTACGTGTATGTGCGTGTACCTGTATGTGCGTGTACGTGTATGTGCGTGTACGTGTATACGTGCGTGTACGTGTATGTGCGTGTACGTGTACGTGTATGTGCGTGTACGTGTACGTGTACGTGTACGTGTATGTGTATGTGCGTGTATGTACGTGTATGTGCGTGTATGTGTATGTGCGTGTATGTGTACGTGTATGTGCGTGTATGTGTAATACTGTATGTGCGTGTACGTGTATACATGTGCGTGTACGTGTATGTGCGTATATGTGCGTGCACGTGCTATCTACCTATCTCCTATACTATAATATATAATAATATATATATGTACATACACGTACATACATACATGTATGTATCTCAGCCTAGGAGTATCGTATTGACAAGCGGTTGGTCTTGTTTTAGAGAGCAAAGAATTCTGATACAAAATTATTAATGCAATACCAAATTATTAAAATATTATTCTAGACTCGCAGGTAAAGTAGAATAATGTTGTCGTGAAATAGCACTAGTTTCCCGTATTTCCATTGTACACTCTAGGTATTATTAGCTCTTGATATAAATATTAGTCACTCAGTGTGTGATCCTGATTATACTTGCTTTACTATTCACCCTGTTTATTAGTGTTTAATATCAATTACAGAACCTTCAATCATAAGTACATAAGAAAGTATAGTCTATAATGACAGATAACACCATTTTCTGAAAAAGACAAGTGAGAATGCATGTTCAAAGAACACCGACTGGAAACCGATTAAAACAGCCGATGAACTATAACTAACGACCATGTAGGTATGAAGCAGCAGCAGCAGCAGCAGCAGCAGCAGCAGCAGCAGCAGCAGCAGCAGCAGCAGCAGCAGCAACAACAACAACAACAGCAGCAGCAGCAACAGCAGCCACGACTTTAGGCATGATCACCCAAATATTTACTTACAACAGAAAAATGGTGCCATGGCAGATGTAACGACCTAAGTCTAGGACATTGTAGGCAGTATTAGGTGATAAATAAATGCTACTCAAGAGTCAGACGCACTGCTCATAGTATTTATTGTTTACAGGATGTGACGGCTACAAAAAATGCCTTTCACTACATACCTTTGTAATGGCTTAGCAGTCTGAATTGCATAGATGTCTCTCTCACGTGTCTATCATATTGTCCAACTCATGGCAATCCACGTGTACATGCACGACGATGCAGTGCATGTTTTTTTCCGCAAATATAAACCGAATACACAAATTGTTGCATAAAATAAGTTTCATCAAGTGTGGTACATTTCACGCGAACCATCCACCAGAAAATATAGCGGTCTGTATGACAGTACTATGTCGAACCATGCGTGCGCTAACCTGCATGCACAGGACTCTGAACCATCCCCCCACCATAATGTCACCAAATAAAACCATCTTGAACTGATCCTCGCATTTTTAGCGCTACTTGTGGGCGTTCTGGCGCTAATCGGTGACATCACTAAACTATGCAGAACGCTCCGTTATCTGGCACAAAATGTCATCAGGTGTATAATATAGACTGTAACTGTAAGTGTAATATACACTTGTGATGTCATTGGGAGTATATAATACAGACTATAATATACACGCGTGATGTCATTGGGAGTATATAATACAGACTATAATATACACGTGTGATGTCATTGGGAGTGTATAATATAGACTATAATATACTTGCGTGATGTCATTGGGAGTCAGGGGAAAAATTATGTCAGGGGAAAAATAAAAAAATGTCAGGGGGAAAAATATGTCAGGGGGAAAAATATGTCAGGGGAAAAATTTGGTCAGGGGAAAAATTGTTATGACTTTTTTTTTCCTGGGAGCTTTTTTTTAAGTCTGTGGAAAAAATAGCTCTCGTCAAAAATTTTACGGGAGCTATTTTGAGCCACACGGGAGCGATACCGGAGGTTTGAAGAGCGAATCGCTCATCGCTCCCGTGTATTTTTTACCCTGTATTATACACTCGTGATGTTATCGGGCGGCAGCCGCTCACTTGTACGCGTTCGCACGATGCTTCGGCAGGAACACAAAGCTGTCCGGCGTTCGTCCCAGCAGCATCTCACTGATCGTCAGCCAATCAGCACAGCTTCCGCTCGCCATCAGCGTCTCCAGGTCGCTGCGCCCGACGTAGGACGGCGGCCGCTCGTTGATGCGCTGCGGCGGTTGCTCCAGCAGCCCGACGGGCACGTAGCGGTGCAGGAACGACAGCCACTCGAGCAGAAATCGGCGCGTCGTCTCCACGCCGGCCGCGTCCGAGCCCCAGTGCTCGAGGCCGAACGCGACGAAATCTCGCAGGACGTCGAGACGCTCGCCCGCGCTGATGTCCCAGTCGCGGCGCTCGCGGATCTCCGCGAACAGCCACGGCTTGTAGAGGGCGCCGCGCGCGATCATCGCCCCGGCGACCCCCGGCGTCGCGACGCAGCGCTCGTAGTCGTCGTACGAGAGCACGTCGCCGCAGCCGAACACAGGGACGGGCGCGGCCGCGCGCGCGCACTCGCCGACGTACGCCCAGTCGGCGCGGCGCGTGTAGCGGGCCTGACGCGATCGGCCGTGCACCGTCATGAGCGCAACGCCGCCCCAGTCGCGTGCGCGCCGCGCCACGCCCGCCGCGAGTCCCTTCTCGCTCGTCAAGCCCGTCCGCATCTTCAGCGTCAGCGGGACGCCGTCGAGTGCCGCCGCCATGCCGCCGACGATCGTCTCGAGTCGCGCCGCGCGCGTCATCAGCGTGCAGCCCGCCCCCTTGTGGCAGACGAGGTCGAGCGGGCAGCCGGCGTTGATGTCGACGAAGTCGGCGTCGGCGTGTTCCCGCAGCAGCTGCGCACACCGCGTCATCGCGTCCGGATGCGAGCCGCACAGCTGCACGCCGAACACGTCCTCGGACGCGTGTCGCCGTAGCAACGCCCACTCGGACTGCTGGCCCTGCAGGAGATTCGTCGCGACGGCCATCTCTCCGCACGTCACGTCGGCGCCGAAGCGCTTGCAGACGCGACGGAACGGCAGGTTGCCCACGGTCGTCAGCGGCGCGAGGTACAGCTTGCCGCGGAAGTCCAGGGGGCGCCGCTCGACGGGGCGCGTTCGGATCACGTCCTCGTCCGTGACGGCACCGGCATGCCGCCGCGTCGGACCGGCGCCCTCTGCTGGCACGCCAATCAGCGGCAGTTCGCTCCCGATGGAGGGTTTATTCGAGGGTACCGGATCGACGGTGGACGGTTCTTGGCACGTAGAGGCACCCTCTCCCGGCGCTGATTCGACAGCGCATGGTTGCGGGTGAGCAACAGCATCCTCAATTGGCACTTTTTCTACGGCGGACGGATTGGAGAGCAAAGCGGCGCAACCTATAGATGCAGGTTCGATGGTGGTCGATCGAGGGAGAGTAGAGCCACTCTTTACTGACACCGATTCGACAGCGTTTGGTTGCGGATGTGCAATCTCGACTGCCACTTGTTCTACGACCGACGGGTGCATAGCGGCGCCACCTATAGATGCGGGTTCGACGATAATCGATTCGGGAACAGTAGTCGCACTCTCTACCGACGCGACGGCCGACGGTTCGCACACAGAAGCGCCCTCTACCAGCGCCGCCTCCACGGGGTGCTTAGTGGCGCCCTCTGCCGCAGCGCGGCCGCTTCGCAACCGCTCCCCGACCTCTCTCAGCACGGCGTCCGCGCGCGAGAAGTCGTACGCCTTGCGGCGCAGCGCCGTCTGCAGGTCCTTGCCGAGCGGGTTCCCCGTGAGCGCGGTGGCGCCCCCTCGTGACGCGAGCGTCTTCTGCCAGAGCGACTCGTTGACGACGTTGCTGTTGTCGGCGGCAATGTGACGCGAGCCGTAGCGGCAGGCGACGCCATACGGACACTTGCCGTAAGTCTCAAAGCTGAAGCAGTGATCGCCCAGGTCTGGTGGCTTACTCTTCAAGAAGCCTTGAACAGAGAGACAAAATCTAGGTAGACAGTATAGGACGAGAGAAGGTGATGAAGAAATATCGAGGGGGAAGATGGGAGAGAGAGAGAGAGAGAGAGAGAGAGAGAGTGAGAGAGAGAGAGA